ACAAGGCCAGGCCCGCCTGCTGGAGGATGAGAGGCTATTTGGAGGAAAGCCCAGCTGTCACAGCCAGGGCATCCTGAACTAGTCTACAGCTAGCGAATCCCAGACATGCGAGCGAGAGCTACCTGCCCAGCTCTCAGCTAACTGTCGAAACCTGAGTGAGCCTAGCAGAGACTAGAACTGCTCGGCTGACCCATAGACTCATGAGCAATGATGATGCTGTTATTGTTTTAAGCCACTGAGTTTTGGAGTGGTTTGTTACACAGCAATAACTAATTGATACACCCTTAGTTCTGTCTTTCTGCACTGTGGGCTCCAGACAGACTAAATTTCTTACTGTTTTCTGTATGTCATCCTCATTTTTACCTTTTGGTCTTTGCACAGGCTGGTTCCTCTGCCTGAAATGTTCTTATCGTCCAGCTTCCCTCTCTGCTTTGCTAAAGTCTATTCATTTTTCATGACTAGCATCGATGGTTCTTCCTCCAACAAGATTTGCCTAACCCTTATCAAGACTAGGTTAGCTGTCTATGCCATGTTCTTCCATAGCATCCTGCCCCTACCTCTTTCTTAGCACTTGTCACACTGTATCATAACCGCCCGCCTTCTCATCTGACTTCCCATTCTCCATTAAGTTCCTGAAGGCAGAATCTTGTTGGAAGTAGCCTTGTCTGAGCTTAACATAATGTCTAGAATACAGTAGGGGTAAAAATATAACGTTGTCACTGAATGCATGAAGTTATTCTACTTCCCTAACTTTCAGTTTCCTTGTCTCTAAGATGTAAGGAGGGGGGAAAAAATCAGGGATGAAAGTAGGTTTGGTTTTGTATGTTGACTCTGATCCATTGGTCCTAATTGCCTGTAGTTCTGTACTGGGAAGGATTGTGAGGCTGTGATTGGAGTTATTAGGAAGAATGTCATGATTAATTAGCTATGTCTGCTATGGTCAGGAAATAACAAGTGACAGCAAACCTGCCAAGGAAGTGCTATCCAGGGAAAGAAGATGTGTCTGATTTGTGTGAATTGGAGCTCAACCCACAGCCATACCTGCGTTATATATAGGGTGGGCAAAAGTAGGCTTACAGTTGAGAGTACATGGAACACAGGTTTACTCCTGTAATATTATTTATTATTGTATTATTTTCCATTTGAATGCAGGGAAAAACAAATGTGTAACTGACTACATGCTAAAATTAATGTCACTTGCTATGGTAGGAACTAGATCAGGGGTGGGCAAACTTTTTGACTCGAGGGCCACAATGGGTTCTTAAACTGGACCGGAGGGCCGGAACAAAAGCATGGATGGAGTGTTTGTGTGAACTAATATAAATTCAAAGTAAACATCATTAAAAAAAAGGGTCCGGTTTTTTTCCACTGGACTATGTTTCTCTGGCTCCTGGCATTGTCTGGGTCACGTGACTAATTCTCAACAATGGAATGTGACTTGACATGACATGAGTCATTTCTGGGCTGAGCTGATTAAGCCCAGGAAAGCCTTTTTTTGTGCTCCCTCCTTCTCCCATCTTGACCAAAGAGAGAATCCACTGGAAGGACATTGATGCCTGAGTGACTATGTTCCACATTGGACTGTGACGGGAATCCTTTCCAATGCACCAATCTAATCAACTGTGTGAACTGAAGACTTACTGGGCACCTAGTAAGGAAATGGCGTTCCTTCACCTCTCGTGTAATAAAGGAACCTGTCTGTAGCCGCCCAAGTGGGGACGATGTTGCCTAACTGGAAATGTCACTCTGGACGTCTGAGGCCATGAGGATAAGAGGAAGGCTCTGCGGGAGGTCCTTGGACAAGCCTGGCTTCCTGGCACTCCTACGACCACCTTTGAAGGCAGCTGTGTGACCTGCCAATGCCCAGGGCTGGTCCATGGTGTACACTGTGAGGGGTGAGGAGACTGGAACGGCAGAGATAGCAGGCGTTTTGATGTAACGGGCAGCAGGATTTTAATGTGTGCCAGGGTATGTGTGGGAGTGCTGTCTGAGTAAAGGCCAGTGGGGTAGTGCAGGATTCTGGCAAATACAGGGTAGGATGAGGGAGGTTTTAGAATGCAACAGAGGGCAAACAAGAGAAAGAGGCAACCCAGAGTTTGTATTTTTTTCATGATGTTTCTTTTTTTCCTGTCTGCACTTTTATGGGTGGTACAGAGTGGGCCTGAAGGTTTGACTCCGCCCATGACCTTGATTGACAGGGGAAGCCCATACAATCCCCACCACCATCATACAAGGTCATACTAATGGAGCCCTTACCTTGTGCCAACGGTTTGTGGTCTCAGTATCCTTATCTCATGTTTACAGATGAGGAAACTGCAGTTAAAAAATAACTTGTGTAAGGTTATAAACCTAGGAAAATGGCACAGGCTTGAGCCCTGTTCTTCACCACCACACTTATTGTTACCAGCACCCCAGAGAGGTAAAGGGGGAAGGGGCAGAAACCTTTGCAGGGCTCGGGCCTCCTGTAATGAGCCCTGCCCTTTCCATGAACCATCAGTGGAAAGCCACAGGGCGAGGAAGCCAGAGCTGAGCTGTTCAGCTGGGAGTCTATCCTGCCAGCAAGGATTCCTCCACCAGCATCTTTGGCTGGCCACATGCTCCCTGAGCAAGTCTCTGGGACCAGCGTCCTTTGGCTGATTTGAGAAAGCAGGCTGCCAGCTTGCGTAATACAAAGCCCGCATTCAGTGCCAGAGGAAGGGAAACGTCGAAGGGAAAGCCCAGGAGGGGCTAGGGTTGTCGGATACCTCGTCAGCCAGGCAGGGGCTCCCAGAGGAAGACTCCCCAACCATTACATGGCCCTGAAAGAAGTCTATGCGCTGCCCTCAGAGTCCAGGCAGCGACAAAAGACATGCAGACTAACTGTACATCTGTGAGCAGAAAATCCGTTGTGACAACAGGGTGCATTAGAATCACCAAGTGGAGGCGGCCACCCGGTTGGATAGTGACCTCCACAGCACGTCCAGAGGGGGCAGCCTTGGCTCCAGCCCTGGCCGTGCAGGAGAGGGAAGCGGTTCCGCAATCAGATCTTTCAAAATCAATTCAGCTCATGCTCCAAAGTCCTTGCTGTAATTGACAGCAACTTCCTCCCTGGTTTCCTTAACTATCAGATAAAAGTGTTGAACTGTTTTAAAACCTTTTTGAGGCCAGGACTCACCTCCAAGGGGAATTTTAAGAGGTACCTGCATAGAGATTTGACTTAGTTCCAGATCTTTCCTTCCTGCTAGGATGAATAATTAGCAGAGCAATCCCAACCTTCGTACTGGACTTTATGTATAGTGATCCAACGTGGGAAATATTAAAGAAGCCCGTGCCTCCGGTTGGTGGAGTGAAAAGGTTTCTACCCACCTTCTGTGTTCTATGAAATGGGGAGAACAGTAATGAACTCTGCCGGGTGGGTACAGGCCAATTAGCCCAAGTTTATGAAGCTCCGAGTCTTATTACAGCTTTACTGCTGTGGAGAGCGGGCAGGACCTTCCAGTGACTTTGCGTGGGAAGCTAATTGCCCTGGAAGTGTGGGGAATTTGATTTTCCATCAAATCCTCCAGCCCTTCAGATCTCTTGACAGTCTCTGGCTATTTGCATCTCAAGGTTAAAGGAGGTTGTTGCTTTCTGGGTGCTAATCAGTTGCAAAAACTTTTGATCTCCTCTTGAAAACTAAAACCGGCTGCATTCACCCTCTCTGAGCCTGGTGAGCTCCGAGCTGGAGTGATGCAGACAGGCTGGCTTTATTGGAATGAGCAATGTGTTTGGCAGTTTGAGTTTTAATTCTATTTTCCTCGGGGGCTCCGTGAGATTGCAGAAAAATCACTTAAAACTTCTGAGTATTTTTCCTCCAAATGTGATTTGAATTTTGTCATATCTCCCCAGGGAGAAATTACCATTAAAAAACGTAGATTTAAAGGAAAGAAATGTTGCAAACCAGTTTTCTGGGGGGCAATCTACAGGCTTACACATAGACATGTGCACTGTTTTGGTTCTGTGCGATTTTAGCCATACTAGGTACTTTTTAGAGACAAAAGTTAATCTTCTACAGCAGGGCTTCTCAGCAGCGGAGTGGTTAACATTGGGGCCAGGTCATTCTTTGCCGTGGGAGGACAGTCCTGAGCCCTGTAGAATTAGCAGCATCCCCGGCCTCTACCTACGGATGCCAGCAGCACCCTGTTAAATGAATTCAAGACGGAGGCCAGTAGACTAAGGTGGTTTCAATGCCTTAGCAACCGACATAAGTAAACCAAAACCTAAGCCTGTAGATGCCTCAAGGTTAAGAAGTCAAAACCAAAGGACAACCAAGTACAAACAACCAATCAGGCTTTTCCAAATAAGGCGACCGCTTGTGCTCTAGACAATCAAATGATTTCCTTGCATTGCTTCTGCATCTTTTCTATTAAGGTCTTGCCCCTAGCTCTGGTGGGAGGATGCCCCTCAACACTGCCTATTTGGCGCTGCCCAATTTGAATCGGTTTTTGCTCAAATAACCTCTTAAAATTTTGTAACATGCCTCAGTTTACCTTCACATAACACCCAAGTTGTGACAATCAAAGATGCCTCCAGCCCTGGCTGGTGTGGCTCAGTTTGTTGAGTGTCGTCCTATGCACCGAAAGGTTGCAAGTTTGATTCCCAGTCAGGGCACATACCTGGGTTATGGGCTCAATTCCTGTTGGGGTGTGTACGGAAAGCAGCTGATTGATGTTTCTCACATTGTTGTTTCTCTCTCTCTCCCTCTCCTCTCCTCTCTAAAAATCAATTGAGACTTTTTTTTTAAATCCCTCCACACATTGCCACATGTCCCCTGGGATAGGACTGCCACATGTAGCAGATAAAAATACTAGATGCCTATTTAAGTTAGAATTTCAGAGAAACGATGAATAAATTTTAGAATGTGTAAATTTAACTGGGTGTACTATATTGAATGTGGCAACCTAGTTGGGGGACGGGATCCCCCTCTAGTTAACAACCATTATTTTAGATAGAGATTTGCTTTTATCAGTGAATTCACATTATCGACCACATCAACCACCTTCTCTTACTCCTGCCCCACTTTTCTTCCCTTCCCCTAAATCCAGGTTCACGTTAGAGGATAAGATAAACAACAATGTGGGCATCACCACAGGTTGTTGCCAGTCTTAGCCATGAGAGCTAATGGAAACAAATTGCTGCTATGACAAAATGAGAGTCAGTCAAAAAAACAAAAACAGCGTAGGCAATTCACCATCACGCCTCTCCAAGCAGAATCCTCCCACAGATGGCACAGTACCCATCAGATAGCCTTTAAAGAAAAGAAACTCGGCACTTCCCACATCTCCACAGACCCTCTGAAAGTCAATCCCAGAAGTTACGGTGAGTTTTTCTTTTTGCTATTTAATCAACGGATTTTTTTTTTTTTGACTAATGACAGTGTCAGCCAGGCGCGGCATGGCACACAAATAAGGAAAAGGCACAATTTGTGCTTTTTTTGTGTTTTTTTTTTGACTAATGACAGTGTCAGCCAGGCGCTGCATGGCACACAAATAAGGAAAAGGCACAATTTGTGCTTGGTGGAGAACAAGCAGGTTGTCCTTCCATAGAGAGATACTTGCTGATAACAGCTGGCATATTGCCAGGCCCAATCAAGATGCAGGATATAATGAACAAGAGGAGAAACAGGTAACTGTGGGCAGGTAGGAGTCACAGAAGCCTTTGTAGAGTAGGTACATTGGAGGATGGGTAGAGCTCCGAGTGGGGATAAACAAAGCTACTTGGAGATATGATTGTATCCCGAGGATCAGTGATTTGGTGCTCCAAGCAGACAATAATCTGATGATCCTTTACATTGATGATCCTTTTCTAAAATATGTTTTTACTGACTTCAGAGAGGAAGGGAGAGGAAGAGTTAGAAACATCAATGATGAGAGAGAATCATTAATCGGCTGCCTCCTGCATGCCCCCCTACTGGTCATGGAGCCAGCAACCTGGGTATGTGCCCTGACCAGGAATCAACCATGACCTCCTGGTTCATAGGTCAGCGTGCAACCATTTGTGTACTGTTAGTTTGGAGGAGCATGCATGGGGGCAGGACAGAGTAGGAGGCTAGCTTTTGTTAGCCTTTAGTCTTTCCTTTATTGTCCCCAAGGATTGGTTGTTGCTCAACCCTGCAAAACAAACAAAGCTTAATCAGACCACCAGCGTAGAGCCCCTCTGTTGGTACTGAGCCTGCTCCTTGCGGGCACTCTTTTTCCCCACTCCCGCCACACACAATGCATTTGATATTTCATCCCATTCCACAGAAGCTCTTGCTGAGGTAAGTTCTCCACTTTCCTACTTCTGTCATAGTGTTTCAGTGCGCCTTATACATAGATGTTGGTTGCCCAGCTAGTCAGCTTCTGAACCCAGCTCTAAGCCTTAAAGATATTATAGACACAGATGCCGGGTTTAAACCTTACACTTATATTTCACTCTATGGAAGGATCTTCACCAAATGCTCCAGGAGCGGCTTTCCCTGGTGGTGGTGGTGGTGGTGGGGGAGCAGGTGGGGAAGGCAGGACACAGTGGTGCCGTGGAAGGAGCATTGGATTGGGACGCAGGAGGCTAGTTCTGAGCTCTGATTTTACAACTAACTTGCTGCATGTTCTGTGTAAGTCGCACTCCCGCCCTGAGCCCTCATTCCTTTCTTTAAAAATGGAAGTTTGGACTAGAAGCACGCTGGCAAACAACAGGTTTTATCTTATACACAGATTCTGATGGATTGGTAGCAGTTCACTGGAATGTGGCATAGAGAAAGCTTTTTAGACCACATCGGGGCTCTGGAGGAAAGAGTGATCAATTAGTAATGTCTGCCATGGATGAAAAGGGGACAGTGGTGGTGGTAATAGCGTATGTGCCCCGTTTTTTGTACCCCTTGGTTGAATAGGTGCTAAGAAATTCAGAGTTCTGAGACAATGTAAATATTGGCTAAACCAGTGATGGCGAACCTTTTGAGCTCGGCGTGTCAGCATTTTGAAAAACCCTAACTTAACTCTGGTGCCGTGTCACATATAGAAATTTTTTGATATTTGCAACCATAGTAAAACAAAGACTTATATTTTTGATATTTATTTTATATATTTAAATGCCATTTAACAAAGAAAAATCAACCAAAAAAATGAGTTTGCGTGTCACCTCTGACACGCGTGTCATAGGTTCACCATCACTGGGCTAAACATTCCAAGAGAATTTGCGTATTCAGAATTAGGCTTCTGTGTATTTTCCAGTGCAATGATAGTTGGGTTTTTTAGAGCAGAATAGCTATAATTCTTTGTTTCATTTAGGACAGCTTTGCTTCTGACCTGCCATCAATAGGATCTACACATCCGTGGTTTTTCTAGAAGTGGGGAACTCTTATACTGATAGTCACACCACCAACAGATGTTGAAATTTTTTTGTGTGTATTAATCCTCACTCGAGGATATTTTTCCATTGATTTTTAGAGAGAGTGGAAGGGAGGGGGAGAGACAGAGTGAGAGAAACATCGATGTGAGAGAGACACATCAATGGGTTGCCTCCCGCATGTGCCCCGACCAGGGTCGGGGATGGAGCCTGCAACTGAGGTACGTACCCTTGACTGGAATCAAACCTGGGACCCTTCAGTCCATGGGCCAATGCTCTAACCACTGAGAAACCAAATAGGGCTAAAATATTTTCTTATAAAATAAGTTGATATGACCCTAACCAAAACAAAATAGAGCAAAAGCCAAACACTGCAACCCTAATTAAAAGGTAAACTATAGGCTGAGTGAAAAATATTTGCAAATATTTACTTAAAAGACAAAGAACTACTAAAATCAACAAGAAAAAGACAAACAGCTCTACAGAAAAAGGACAAAGATTCTGTAAACAGGCAACTCAAAGAAGAACTATAACCCCCTTACAGGTATAAAAGATGGGAAAGATCCAATCATTTAAATAGCAAAGATAGGCAAAATAAAGCAGGATACAATTTTCCTTTATCATATTGGTAAAAGATATTCAGTGTTAATAAGGAAACCCGACAGAAAAGGGTGTCAATTGGCACAACCATTAGAGGATAATTTGTATCCTCTATAAACACTTGAAATGTGCTTATCCTTTGACCTCGAAATTTCACTTCTAAGAATTTATCTAAAAAAAATACTGGTGCATTTACTGAGCCACTCTGGCCAGGCAATTTTTGCCTTTCAAATGTCTCTATTATTTAACTTTGTTCTAATGAGCAAATATAAAGTTATATTTGAGAAAAAATAAAAATACTTCAAAAGTAATACATATCACAATTCTGGAAATACAAATAGGGCAAAGGAAAATGTGTATTATCTGTACTCTTTTAGTAAAATATAGTGAAAAAATAAAAAATGTTTTCAATTACAGTTGACATTTAATATTATATTAGTTTGCCACTTAGTGATTAGACATTTATGTAACTTAGGAAGTGATCCCCCCATAAAGTCCAGTACCCAGCTGGCACTGTACATAGTTATTACCACATTATTGACTATATTCCCTATGCTGTACTTCACATTCGAGTGACTATTTTTATAACTGGCAATTTGTACTTTTTTATCCCCTCATTCTTTTCACCCAGCCTCACAATTTCCTTCCCTTCTGGCAGCCATCAGTTTGTTCTCTGTATCTGTGAGTTTGTTTCTGCTTTGTTTGTTTGTTTGTTTTAGATTCCATATATAAGTTAAGTCAGATGGTATTTTTCTTTCTCTGTTTTACTTATTTCACTTAGCAAAATACCCACCAGGTCCACCCATGTTGTTGCAAATGGTAAGATTTCATTCCTTTTTGTGGCCGAGGAATATTGCATTATACATGTGTACCGTTACCCATTTTTCTGTCAGTGGACATTTAGGTTGCTTCCCTAAGTGTAAATAATGCTGCAATGAGTGGAATCTGAAAGAGATTTTCTAGGAGAAACGCGGGGACAACAGTCTCAAATGTTGCAGCACAGCTGGAATGAATGAGAAAAGGTTTTGTTGAGAAAAGGGTTTTGGACTGGAGATTTGGAAGTCACTGGTGACTTCATAGTATTCAGATTACAAACTCTTATCACCTCACACTTAGATTATAGGAACCTATAAAATACAGATGATAAAAGTTAATTCCTTGGATTCATGTGAGGATTCAATGATATAACCTGTAAACAGTGGGTAAGTCCTTAACCCAGCCCCTCATCCATTCATTAAATTAATATTTAGCTACTGTTTATTACGGGCCAGGTGTGGTTGTAATATCTGTGCACAGCACAGTGAATAAGACAGATAGGGTTAGTGCTTTCACAGACCTTATAGTCAACCTGGGGTAGGGACAGGTAGTACCAAACAAAAACATCTGAGAGTGACGGATGCTGTACAGAAATTAAAGGATGATGACCTGATAGAGAGTAATGGGATGGCTACGTTAGGTGGGCTGGTCAGAAAGGGCCTCCCTGAGCAAGTGATACAAGCTACGAGTTGAATGACAAGAAAAGCCAATATTATTATTATTTCCTTTTCCCTCTTTTTCTTTTCAGTTCTCCCTCTTCCCACTTCAACTGTTCACCTGCCTTACATACAGCTCATCCTGCTTGAAACCGGTCCGTGCTTCCCTGAGTGACTTTGCGAGTTGTTATCTGGACTCAGAAAGCAGAGGAAAGGGCTGCTCCTGTTACAAGCTGGCGGCTCCACGTGGTGCTGTGGAAAAGGCATCCTTGCCGGAGGCAAAGGCATTTACACCTTCCAGGGAGACACATGATTAGAGACGGCAGGGGAGGTGCAGACACAGACAGGGAGGAGGGGGTGGATAGGCAGCTAACTGAAACTTCATCTATTAGAAGAGGAAAGGCCTTTGAAAAGTGAATTAACGATATTTATAGCTGCTTCAGGTAAGTAGCTGGCGAGAGCTCTCGGATAATGAGGCCAAGGTTGAATTCCCATACGGACCAGAGAGAAGCGATGGCGGAGATCCTGTGGAGAAGTGATGCTGTTCCCGCCCTGGCTCTGAGACTTAGGCAAACACACACCTCTCTGAACCTCAGTTCCCCAGTCTAAAACGGGTATTCACATTCCACCTGCCTGTCCCATATGTCTTAAGGAATAAATAAAAATGGATAGTAAAGTGCTTTTAAAAATCATACGTTTTAAAAATGGTCTATTATTGTTACTGCTTACATTATTATTTTCATGGCCTAGGTACCCCCTCCCCCACTCCTTTAACATTTTTTAAATTTAAGTTTTCAATTACAGTTTACATTCAATATTATTTTGTGTTAGTTTCAGGTGTACAGCATAGTGGGGGTTAGACAATCATAAACTTTACAAAGTGTACCCCTGATACATCCAACATCCACCCTGCACCATACGCAGTTATTGCAAATTATTGGCTGTATTTCTTGTTCTGCCCTTTCCATCTCTGTGACTGTTGTGTAACCACCCATCTATACTTCTTAATCCTTCCCTTTCCCCACTTCTTTGCTGTGTATCAGCTGGCTGTAGCTCACAGTGGAGATTCAGTCACACGCTTATAAACGAATCAATAGTCCTTCAATAGGCCCATTATGGTGGCCCTGAGTCAAGAAGATTATTTTCATAGAATGAATACAAAATATATCCTCAAGTTTGGCCTGTCCTACCCACTTCTGGTTAAATCTTTTTCTTGTTTTAACGTTTGTTCCACTTGGTTGCAGGGCTTCTAACCACTAACCAGTGTGGATTTCCTGTCTCCTCCACCTCTGTGTTTTGTCCTTTTGTCTGATCTCCAGAGAACTAGAAATTAGTCCATTTGGCATCCACTCCCCACTGATGACAACTATAGAGCACATGTGCCTCCCTCCAATGCCCTGCTCATTGTGGACCCTGCTAACTGATGATGGCACTTTCTCCCACCCACTGGCTTAACACCTCTGCCTAACCTGGGTAACCGCTGGTCACATGTGGCCACCGAGCATCTGAAATGTGGCTAGCAGGAACCTCACAAAAGAAAAAAATGTAAAAGCTCTCTCTCTCTCTTTTTGGTATTGATTACAAGTTGAAATGATTATACTTTGCATATATTGGGTTAAATTAAATATGCTATTAAAATTCAATTTTACCTGCTGCTTTTAGCTTTTTTTAAAAAATATATATTTTATTGATTTTTTACAGAGAGGAAGGGAGAGGGATAGAGAGTTAGAAACATCTATCAGCTGCCTCCTGCACATCCCCCACTGGGGATGTGCCCGCAACCCAGGTACATGCCCTTGACCGGAATCAAACCTGGGACCTTTCAGTCTGCAGGCCAACGCTCTATCCACTGAGCCAAACCGGTTAGGGCTCTTTTAGCTTTTTTTAAGTGGCTGCTAGAAAATGTAAAAATCTCTATGGGCCTCACATTTGTGGCTCATGTTCTATTTTCACTCTACAGCGCTGCCTTCAAATCGTCCTTAGGACAGTTCTCTAGGCAGTCAATGATCAAACCAGAAATAAAAGCAGTAGAGGTCGACACATTGTGGGTTTTCGATCTTACAATGAAAAAGAAGGACCTTCCATTTCATGTAGTTCAATGGCTCCCAAACATGTCTGTGCATTCGGAAGCCCTGGGACCTTAAATTGTAAAACTATAGATTTCCAGGTCCCACCCCTGGAGATACTGATTCAATAGGTTTGGGATGCACCCCCTCTCCCTCCGCCCCCACCCCGATTGTGTATTTTACAAGCAACTGGGAGAGATTCTGATGGTCTGCAGGTTTGAGAACCCTGAGCTACTAGTAAGACTTTTGCACATTTCGACGACGGGACTTCCCTGGGGTGACAAGTTGTTACTGGCAGAGCTAGGACCAGAGCACATGTTCCACACGGATTCTATTTTGTACTGTCCTCAGAGCACTTTGTATCGCTGCGACCTAATCGCGGAACTCCAGATGGAATGAGGAACTCCAGCTGCATCTCAGCAGGCGGGCACCCTTCTCTTCCTTATATGGAGAAAGCCTGGTTTGGCTCAGCAGCCCCCTCTGCTGTCAGAAATCCCTAGCGCAGCCTGGCACCGCTGGCTTTGAGGAAGGGAACTCTGCAGGCTGTAGTAGCCTACAAAGGAAAGACAGTACTGAGGGGAACCTATTTGCAATCTGGCAGCGGTCAGAGGGAGGTGTTGCAGTCAGAGACCCTTCGAGCCAGAAGGGCTGCCAAGGTCCTTCACCTGACTGCCCCTGGTTGGAGGAGGGAATTTGGACAAATCATTTTACTTCTCTGGGCCTCAGCTTCCTCATCTGAACAAGGGGAATAATGACATGCTCTCTGCCCCTCCCTCATTGTAGACTATTCTGATAGTCTAACAGAACAATGGTAACGTTGTTGCCAATGTCTTGGTCCAAAGACACACCAGCTCGCTAGAGAACCAGACTTTGAACTCTGGTCTCCCAGTTGAGGTACATCATATAATTTCAGCTAATAAAGGAGAGATGTGTTCAGCTGCTTCCAGAGGGACAGGGACAGGAAAAACTTACAAGGGAGGTTGAGGCTGGCTTCATGCTGAGGCATATTGATGCCAGGTAACTACCCTCTTATTGATAACGTTCATTCATGACTCATTACTCAGCTTATGCTTATTGAACACCTCTACGGGACTGACACTGTGCAAGGCGTGGTGACACTAAGTCAAATTAGGCATGGTCCTTGCCATGTCTGTGGTTCTTGCTATGTCTCCCTGAGTATTTCTTTTGCCAGAAATATCCTCAACTAGCTGTCACAGTGCACAAGCCACATGCCTGGGAGCTACATGCCAGGCACAGTGCGAGGCACTTCCTGTGTACTGCCTCTGAGCACCAAAGAAGAAACAGATCTGGAGAGACTGAGTACATTTCTCAAGGTAACCGGTAGTAGGTGGTGGAGTTGGACTCGTGCTCACTCTGTATTTATTTTACTTTTTATTGATTTGAGGGAGGGGGAGAGAAGGGTGTTCAAGTGCTGTAACCAGCAAGAGAACAGAAACAAGCTCTTCAGGAAGCCTTAACCCTTCTCTTCAACTCTTCACTTTTTAAAAATCCTCATCTGAGGATATTTTTCCCATTGATTTTCAGAGTGGAAGGGAGGGGATTGGTGGGGAGGGGGAAAGAAACATCGACATGAGAGAGACACATCAACATGAGTTGGTTGCCTCCTGGAGTCGGGAATCAAACCCTCGATTGAAGGGTCGAAACTCTAACCACTGGGCAAAACCAGCCAGGACTCAACTCTTTACATTTCACAAGCTCAAGCCATCAGCACCGAATTCATGTTGTTGACCAGCTTAGTTACATTTGACTCTGATTCTTCTCAAGCTCAGCATCAGCTTCCCTGGAAAGTACACACTGTCCACCCAGGATTTTCTGTGTGTTAATTTCACCCATGAGCTGTCTCCTCCATTGTTCTGGGCTGCAGGCTAGAGACTAACTGTCTGACAACTGCGGGATTTTCTGTCACTTTCAAAGGAGAACAAAGATTCTCCCACACTCATTGCCCCATTGGTTTCTTTCAACATTGTTTACCACTGTTTGCTGGCATTGGCTTGCTTCTCTGCTTAACTTCAGGGAAAAAGATTTCTTTTTACAAAGCTAAAAATGAAGAGTTTACTAGTAGAATCTTTCCTTTCAAACCTTTAGTGTTTTTCAGCTGTAGAAGGATTTCAGCAATCTCTTGGGTGGTTTGACTGACTGAGAAAAAGAAAAGAAAAAAATCAAGATCCGGGTTGAATCGTCTCTTGCTTCTTGACTGGAAGCTCTATAAAAAGTCTTCTCCCCCTGCACCCCACACCCCTCTCTGATTCTGCAAAGGGGTGCTCCTGAGTCAGCACTCTGCCCTGGAGATCTTGAGACAGGAAATAACATTAAGCCTGGAAGGCTGTTTTCACAGGAGGATTTTTACTCCAGCCTCATTCAAAACATAATGAACCTCTTGTGAGCAAATCTCTGGAGAAATATCTAGCCTAATTTTCTAAGATGTTTTTGGATGGTGGTTAAAGGAGTGAGAGTGGCGCTATGATGGCCAAATCTGGATCCATCTTTTCTTATATATCTTTTAGGATTAGGGTTAGCTTCATGCTGGAAGGAACAGTTTCTACCAAGCTCCTTCAATCCAGGGCATATAACACACAGAAGAGCCCTAGCCGGTTTTGCTCAGTGGATAGAGTGTTAGCCTTCGGACTGAAGGGTCCCGGGTTTGCTTACTGTCTAGGGCACATACCTCAGTTGCTCCTTCCTGGCCCGGTCCCTGGTCAGGGTGCGTGCAGGAGGCAATCGATGTGAGATGTCTTTCCCTCTCTCTTCCATTCTCTCTAAAAACCAATAGAAAAATATCCTCGGGTGAGGATTAAAAAAAAGAAAACACAGAAGAAATGTTGATGCATTGTTGTGCTTTCCAACACAAATGTATTTCATAGAGTCTTGGCTGCTATAAAGAAATTCTTTGAAAGCAACATGTAAGAGAGCATTGTTTGTAGAAAAGTCCTTTCTTCCCTTGGCTAAGGGCTCCTTGTTCTTTTGCTGTCTTCACTCCCTCCCTGGCCTGTTCTGTGTATAGGACAAAATCAATATTGTACTCCACTTACTGACATTCACCAAGGTAGGGAAGATGGAGACATCCCCAGAGGCAATGTGGTGGAATAGAAAGACCAGGAACCCAGTCTGGTGTCATAAATTCAGGCTCCGGTTTTGCTAATGGCTTCTCAGACCACAGCATTGCTGATCATATCTAAGGAAAAGATTTTCCATGTCAATAATGCATGTAAGACATTTACACAGGCCCAGCCACCGAGCAAGCACCCTGTAAATCCCAGCCGCATAGCTGGCATGAACATTTGTTCCATGTAATGCTTTCTTCCTTCATAGGTGTGCCTGGTGGGGACTAGACTCCACTAAGAGCCTGAGAGATGGCTGCTTGGAAAGGGGCCAGAGTATAGGAAGATCGGCACAGTATTTGCTGAAGACTCAGTGTGTGACGCGGCAGAAATGTGGTCGACTGGGAGTAAGACGGATTTGGGCTCCAGGTTCTATTCTGTTGATTTTCGCTGTGTAACGCCGTGTAAGTTACTTCACAATAGCTCTCTGACAGGTTTAATGGAATGACTCCAGTTTTCTGTGCTCTTCCACGC